TTGTTCGCAGATCCGCTTCCCCAACGTGTGAACCTCGTACGGGTCCACCCCCTGGCCGTGCCTGTTGCAGCTGTGTGTCCCCCCTCTCTCTGACCGAATGCGCTCACGAAATGCCAACCCATTCTCAATCAAAAGCTTCGCGCACTCTACGGACCTGGCTTTGAGCTGCAACGATTTCTGGTCTCTGTCCAACGATGTCAAATCCATTTTTTTCGAATTCGGCAACCTCTTCCTTCAATTTAGCTGCCACGGCAGGAAGGCGTGCCATGAAATTTATCTGCGTGGTCATGCCGATTGCAACTCTGAGACAGGAGGGCTGAAGTTCTGGAATCGCAAACTCAATGTTGGGAATCGTCCTCGAAGCTGTTTGAGCCACAATGGTTGCAGCCCGAAACGGCCCATGGGAATATGTGTTTCTGCTGCGGCGGATCAGAAACTGCACATCGATAAACGCATTATCATGGTTGCTATCTTGGATTGCCAACCTCGGTAACCTGGATAGCTATCTTGCTTAGGAAGCTTTGTAAATAGATTGCGCCTGGTTGCCAAATGGTTTGCTATTCGGCCTAAACGGATAGCCAGGATAGCGTAACTTGATTGGCAATCGACCTAAACTGAATGGTATTTGGTGCGATCTGAGAACTTGGATACGTATATGCCCTAACTACATAGCTCAACTACTATCTCAGATCACCATTTATAGCAAGTTATAATAAGTTGTGAGTAGGTTATAACATAAGATATAAGAAGATATAACCAGCCAAGGGGGATAGGAACGGCAGCGCCGATCCAAGTAAGGAACCCGAAATAAGGAACGAGGCCCCTGTCTCCCTTAACTTAAACTTAGATTCCCCATGGAAAACCTAAGGAAAACCAAAGGCAAACTGCAAAACGATCAAGGAACACCGAGCTCCTCCCCAACGAATAGGGTTCCTTAGTCAGCGCCCCGACTGTACCCCAAGTTGGCTCCGAGACGAAACCGAGAAGCCCTGATGTGACGCCGAGATGGCACCAGGCGGCGCCCAGAGGCTCAAAGATGCACCTGCAGACGGACTCAGACCGACCCGAGACCGCCCCGACTCCCCCAGACTGCCCCAAGACCCTCCAAAACGGCCCCGAAGTCCATCAAGGAGCACCCACTTTGCCTCGAGAGGCCCCTGGGCGGACCCACGAGAGCCAGGAGCCGAATCAGTCAGCATCGAACCGGAAAATCGGATCGGATCGGAATGTGTGTCGGATCGGGCTGCATCGGCAAGGAGTCGAAATCGAATCGGATAGGCCGCGCCAGGATGCACAGCAGCGCCAGCGCCATGAGAGCATCGGGCCGCATCGGATCGTCGGCAGATGGGAATCGAATCGAATCGGGCTCGCCGAAATCGATAACGAACCGGATCGATCGAATAGAAATGGACCCTGCTACGGGTGGCCGACAGAAGGCCTCAGGAGTCCCAAGAGTCCCCGAAGAAGGACCCCAGTGCTCGCCCACACGCGAGTCGAAGCCCTGACTCCCCAGAGAGACTCGCCGGCAGTGAGATCCAGGGGACGCACCAAAACTCCCGCTGGGAACGGCGCCTGTGCTGACGAACGAACAACACACACCTATACCCATAGGGAGGTCGTTGGGAGGAGGACTGGTTATGGGTATGGGTGCGGGCTGTCGGACCCTGGGGAACGCTCCCGTTCGAGCGGGGACCCCCATCCGACAACACGTACCGATAGCCCTCTCCGATCCCCTTATGGGTAGGTGTGTGTTGTTGGCTCGTCATGTGCACTGCATCATGCCTGGACTCCCGTGAGACCCCCCCGCTCCGACGCGGTAATTACGGTGCATAGACGTTCGGCTCCGAGGGCCGAAGCAGCGATGCACCGCACCACTCCCGAGCCAGAGGTCGACGACGCCTCGGAGGACGCCGGCGCGGCACGGTGCACACGGCTCGCCCGCCGAGACGAACCGCCGCCTCCGATCGTGGACCACGCTGAAGGGGGACTGGGACACACAGATAGATACACACAGATAACAGGACTCCCCATATTTTCCCATATGTGTTCTGGGTGTTTGTCTTCCCCCCCCACTTCCCATATGTTTTCGCATATTTTCCCTGGAATCGACGATGAAGTGTGTCTGTGTGCGGTTTTTGTCCCTCCTGACACGCGCGCGACGGAGAAAGGAACGGGACGTGCCCAGCGGCCGGAGGAGGCAGGCAGGAGCAGGAAGCAGGCGCAGGCGCTGGAAGCAGACCGGGGGCTCCCGCCCGCCCCCCAGGGAGGGACGGAAGAGGCGGAGCCACGGACGCCCCGATCGCCGAAGTGGGCAGGCGCTGAAAGCAGCTCGGAGCCTGGGAATCTCAGAGGAAAATAAAGTCCCAGCAAACAAAACTTTGTTATATATAGTAGTAAGAGTAATAATAATAATAATAAGAATAAGAAGAAGAAGAAGAAGAAGAAGAAGAAGAAGACCAACAACAACAACAACAACAACAACAACAACAACAACAACAACAACAACAACAACAATTACTAGCACGTGGGGACACTCCGTTCTCACCAGTGCCAGGGTTTTCATAGGAGGCGGGCAATACCCCCACTTTGTGGGGGGGCCGGTTCAAGCTCTACCAAATTTCCAAACGACTCTTCGCCACCACCCACACCCAGCTTCCCGCCCTATGACGTTCGGACACTTCACTTCGTGGCATGCGGACGACCGTGGCTACTATTCAGGGCCCCGCGGCCGACGACGACGGCGTGCGCGCGCGAAGAAAAAACGAATGTGTCCCGCATGGTATTATTTGACAGGGATGATGGCCCTGGCAGGTGCGCAACCGTTGTTGCAGAAGTTCGAAAAAGTTGCTCGCAAAAGCCCGTTTGACAGAAATGTTTAAAAAGTGTTGGGTTTCCTACGAATCCGCAAGAGCGCGCGGGATGAGATTTTGACATTTTTTTGTTGAAAAACCATTGGTTGTTTTGATGTTTTTATGTTAAAATCGCTCGAACACTAAGGTTTTGGAAGGATTTCGTCTTGCGCGCGCGAATGTCCACTTTACCTTTTTTTTGCAAGGGATTCTTGAAGTTTGGTTATGTTAGAACAAGAAATGTCCACTTTAGCTTATTTTTTGCAAGGGAAAACCGATCATAACAACACAACCGGATCCGGACTCCCCCGTTTTGCCTGAGACTTCCTCACGAAAATGATGAAAATGAGGCTGCGGCCTAGGCGCGGCGGGGGGGTCGTGCACCAGGGGCCCCAACAATAATTATTCGTTAGAAGTAATAATGTTCAACAACAACAACAACAACAACAACAAGAACAACAACAACAACAACAAGAACAACAACAACAACAACAACAACAACAACAACAAGAACAACAACAACAACAACAACAACAACAACAACAACAACAACAACAACAACAACAATAACAACAATACATATATATATATTATGAAGAAAAACTCCAGCGGCCGATGGGCACGCGGGACGGCATGGCGGCCCGGCGCCGCGGCCCACGCGGGCCGCCAGCCCGGCGCGCCGCGCGGAGGCGACGGCGCCCGCCCGCGCGGCCGCGCAGCGGGAGGCTCGCGCGCGAGCGCCGTCGCGGGCGGCCTCGCGCCTCCATTAGGGGGCCACAGGCGAGCCCTACCCCTGCCCCCCATGATTTCTGAGGGGGAGGGTGGGGTTCACTTCGCTCGGGAGCTCCCGAGCGAAGCGAACCCCACCCCTACCCCCTCAGAAATCGTAGGGGGGCAGGGGTATGTATGGTTCGCCTGCGGCCCCCTATCCCTGGCGGCGCGCACGGGGGCGCTGCGGCACGGGCCGTGTCGTGACGACCCTGGCACTGGCTTCTCGGCGGCGACGACGGGGGCGAGCAGCCCAGGGGCAGGCCCCTTACACGCATTCGCCCGGGAGCCTTGCCGAAGACATCGATCATCGGCGCACTTGGATACATGTCTTGCTCTCCCCTGGGCTATTCGCCCCTGTCGTCGCCTCTGAGTTTCTGACACCGCGTGGATCGTTGGAGCAGGGCTGGGGGTCAGGTCTGCGGAGCACCCCAAACGGACGCCAAGGGGCGCAGCCAGCCCCTTCGGTCGAGCTGGAACTGATGCACCCGCCCGGCGTCAAGCCCAAACTTTGGACGTACGCGGGTGGCCGGGATTTGCAGATCTTCGTCGGCTTAACCGGCGAGGCGTTTGACCACCTCAGTGTTTTGGTGGTCCTGTAGAGGAAAGCGATCTCTGACCCTCGGCCCTACTCAATGGATCGTGCAACCTTGAATGATCAACGGCCTTCCGATCGCCCGATCGTTACACATAGGCCGATCCTGGGCCACTGGCGACGTTCCACCTTGAAGGTCCTGGTCGCGGGGCCGCCGCCGGTCGACACGACGCGGACCTGCCGCAGGAGGAGGGGGGAAGGCGCCCTAGGAGGAGGCTGCTTCTTGGACGGCACGGGACTTGCCAGCAGATGCGAGGCCCGCGCCCTCGAAAGAAGCAGCCTCCTACGAAGCCTTCCCCGCTCCCCCTTCCCCACACCACCCTTGCGCGTGGCCGATCTCCCGTCGCTCAAACAGTCGGACCCAGGACAGAAGAACGTCCTTCCAGAACACGAGGCCCTCCGCCGGCCAAAACACACAGAGCATCCAAGGGTACCCTCCCCAGGATGCACAAGAACATCCAACAAGCACGAAGAACACCAGGGTACCCTCTCCGAACGGACCTCGATCGCGTTCCCACCGCCCCTTTCCAGCTTCAGCCCTCGTCCTGGCCGTCACCTCCTGCCCGTCACTCTCAGGGCATCGTGGGGCGGGTGGCAATGGGGGGTGACCTAGATGGGGGAGAAGGGAAGGCACCTGCCTTCGGGCACCCTCTGGGCCCGTGCTGGCTCCAGGAAGGGGCCCTCGGGGACCCCTCTCTGGGCCCTGTTGTTCTTCACCCCCCCCCCATTTTTCCAGGTCGCCCCCCATCACCACCCGCCCGCCATGGGGCCAGCGGGGAGGCGCAAGCCTCTCGAATAGTTGGTGCAGCCCAGGACGAGCTCCGGGGCCCGGTAGTACCGGGAGCACACGTACGGGCGCATCTGCTCCCCAAAGACCGGGCGCTTCGCGGTGCCAAAGTCGCACAGCTTGAGCGTGTGCGTCTTCCCGTGCATCAGGAGGTTCTGCGGCTTGATGTCGCAGTGCATGATCCGCCACCGCGCGTCAGCGGCACCCGTACATCGGGCCGGTCTGCAGCTGGCTGGTATAGCCTATCTGCAGGGCCCGATGCTCGGGGCACCCGGCCCTGGGGCCTGGCACGGTGTGCACGCCCGCCTCGCCGAGGCCAGCGGGGCCCATGCCCCAGCCGAGGGGACCCAGTGCGGCGCTGGCCAGCTGCTGTGGTGCGCACACCGTGGGGGCGCGGCCGCAGGAAGCCCTCGCGAGAAACCCTGCCCTGGAAAGCCGCGAGCGGGGTGCACCCGAGGGGAGGCCCGGAGCACCCTGAGCGCAGCAGCTTCCTCCACGGCTGCGGGAAGTCACCACGCAGCGCTCGGAGCGAAGACACGAAACCAAGGATACCCCGACGGAGAACAAAATGGTTTCTGGATGCGCGCCCCCACTGTAGACACCTGCTGAATCATGCATGACCGGACGCCTCACGCAACGGACGTCAGGACACAACCACATTCAGTAAGGATCCAGTGGTGGGGCGCTCGCGCTCCCGGTAGGGGGCGAAGGGCTCATGGGCGAGGGTTCACAGGTTCGCACGAAGGATCCTACAGCCGTGGCATCCCGGCCCTGCCGGTTTCAAAGCAGGGCAGGCTCGCCTCACCGGTCGGAGGGTTGGATCTGCGCGGCCCGCGCCGTCGTAGAGCCAGCCTCCTCCTAAGAAGCCGTCTCCCCTCATCCTGCCCCCCTTCTGCGCGTGGCTGAGAGGTGGCTGGGGAGGTTAGTTTGTGGCCCTCGGCACACAGACATGTTCTTCGTCCCGAAGGCCTGGCGAGTGCGCTGTGGCCGGTCGAGCAGCCCTGTGGCGCCGAGCAACCGGTCAGGCCCCTCGAGAGGAGGGACAGGAATCGGGGTGGAGCGGCCGCGGGGGAGGGGATAACCACACTCGCACTTGCCCCTTACCCCCAAGATCGACAGGCCCAGGGCGATGACAGTCTTGGGAGTGTGCCCTCAGAAGCCGCGGGGACCCTTGAGATCGACACCGCGGTATGCCAAGGTGGTGCCAGACGCAGGGATAGGGCAAGCTTCAGCTGGCACGTGGGGAAACCAAAAGGTACCGATACCGAACTCCCCGTACCTCTCCCGGGGTGCGTTTTGACCAGTATCTCGAGGCGAATCCAGCGGTGGCGACGAGGCCCTCCCAGGAGGCCCAAACAGGGGAGAACGAGGGAAGGCTAGAGGTATGGGCACCTTCTGCTCCTCCTCCTCCTCCTCCTCCGCCGAGTCCTCGGGGCGGGGGGGGGGGAGGAGGAGGAGGAGGAGGAGGAGGAGGAGGAGGAGGAGGAGGAGGAGGAGGAGGAGGAGGAGGAGGAGGAGGAGGAGGAGGAGGAGTTGACGCTCCAGGCGCCAGGGCGCGCCCCCGCAGCCGGCACAAGACAAGGAGAAGACAAGGCCTTCGCCGGATGGGGCCCCGCAGGCGCTCCCCGCGCCCGCAGGGCGATGCATGGGCGGTGCACCGGCGACGTCGTCGATGCGTCGGCGACGTCGGCGCGGAGAGGAAGTCGGGCTCCACCGCGAGCCGCATCGCCGACGCATCCGCGACGCGGCGCGACCCTCCGACCCCACCCGCTCGGACCCCATCTGGGAGGCCCAGAACACCCGCCCCCTGGCGGGCCCCCGGGGCTGCAGGATGCGCATCTCGCTGGGCCCCACGCAGCCCGAGGCCTGGGAGCGCAGATTCGGGGCGCCCTCCCCGCAGGGAGCCCGGGTCTCGCTCTGGAGGGCCCCACAGGGCCCGAGGCCTGCCCCACACGGGCCCTGGACAGCGGCTCCCTGTGCCTCGGGCACTGCTCGGGTGCCGAGCAGGTCGGGCCGAGCAAGCTGCTCACAGCCTGCGGCCGGCCACTGCGGGACGGCACCCCTCGAGGGTCTCCGTGATTCCTCGCAGGCGTGCGCGGCCAGGGGGCTCCGGACGGCCTGTGGCGTCTCTGCCGCCGAACCGCCTTGTGCACTGGGCCCCCAGAAGCTTGCAGCGCCCCTGCTCCTCTTTGAGCGCTGAGCCCTCGACAGCGCAAAAATTGGCTGCCTGGCCGTGTCCTGACTGACCCTGGCCGACCACGAGACCCCTGAGGACGGCGGTAAGCCGCTCCGTGATGACAGGACGACTGTCCCCGAGATAACCTGGCGACCCTAGAAAGGATTCCAGCTGGTCCTCAGAAACTTCGCGGAGACCAAATTTGAGCAGGGCCCGACCGTCCTGGCATTCCTATAGGCCGTAGGCCTACCACGAAATTCTCTTAGAACTGAAGAATGCTCTGAGAGCTTCATAGAATTTAAACCGGATGGCTGCCTCCGCCGATTCGTGCAAACCAGACAAGGTTGTTGGAACATCCCCTGGGAGCCTATAGGCGAGTCGGGACGCTTTGCCACTGCTTGGCCAAAGAAGCCCTTCAAGTGGGCCTGGCAACCGAAAAGAGATGAGCTGGGTCGTGCCAGCTCAACATGGCCGTGGCAGCCCCCCCTGAGGGCACAAGGCTGTCCCACGACAGCCCAAAATCCAAGATCTGTCAGCATCAAACCAGGAACTCGGACCGCATCGGAAGGCGTGTCGGCTCGGCCCCCGTACGCATGGACCCGGATCGGCCGCGCGGGGACGCACAACACCGCCGTGCGGGATTCGGGGCCGCATCGGACGGTCAACAAATCGGAGGGAGCGCGATCCTACCGTCGCTTGACCGGACCTCCCCCCCCCTCCGGAAAACCAAGGGGGAAGGGGGGAGGTACAAATCCCCCCCTTCTCCCCGGGAGCCAACGGGGGGGGGGGGGAGTGGGCCCCCCCACCCACCCCCGGCTCAAATCGGTGGGGGGGTAGCGGGTCGACCCTGCTCGCGTCGGATCCTGACGGCCAGATCCAGCTCGAGTAAAGTCCGACTGGGGCCCGACCTAGCACGAACAAGAACCCTACAGAGGCTGATTCCAGCACTGATACAATCATACCAAGGCTTGATCCAGCTCTCACGAAATCATGCAAAGGCTCGCTCCACCTCTCATCGAATCCTGCTAGGAAGGCCAGATCCAGCTCTAACAGAATCCTACCAGGCCTCGATCTAATTGTAGCAGAATCTTAGTGTGATCTGAATCCAAATCTAAAAGGATCCTAGTGGAGCTCAACTTTACTGCAATTGGATCCTGCTATGGCCTGGACGCAGCTCGAATGGAAACATCTCAGGGCTCGGCCCAGCCCACATACAACGCTACTAAGGCCCAACCCAGCTTTGATGGAATCCTACAAACGCTGCGTCCAGCCTTGATGGAATCCTACTAGATCTTGATCCAGCTATGATGGAATCCCCCCCTCCCGCTCTTAACCAGGAGGGGGGGGGCTCTCCCCCCCCCTCCCCGCGGATAGAACCGAACAGGGGGGAGGGGAAGGGGGTCCGCCCGACATTGGGCCCAATCCCGGCTCACTGGTCCCAAGCCCGGCCCGATTGAGACCAATCCTGACTGAATCGGTACCAATCACGGTGGAAAATCCTCTCAAGTACGGTTTCATTAGGAGCAGTCTCAAGATTTCTGAAGAAGTGTACACAAGACGTCTTAAGTAGCACTTCGTCCGAGGACACAGGAGACGTTGTAAGTAGTACATCTTAAGAGATACTTCTCAAATACGTCTTAAGAAATACTCTTAAGATCTCTTACGAGATGCGCATTGAGAAGCACTCATGAGACTTCTTAAGGGACGCTCCTCTGATGGGGCTTTCGAGAGGCCTCCTGAAGGCATCCCTGAGGGGCTTCTGCGAGGCCTCTTGGGAGGTGTCCCTGAGGGGCTTCTGAGAGGCCTCTTGGGGAGTGCCCCCGAGGGGCTTCTGAGAGGTTTCTGGGAGGTGTCCCTGAGGGGCTTTTGCGAAGCTACTGGGAGGTGCCCCTGAAAGGCCTGCGGGGAGGTGCCCCTGAGGGGCTTCTGATACGCCTCTGGGAAGTGCCCATGAGGGGTTTATGCGAGGCCTTTAGGGAGCTCCTCCGAGGGGCTTCTGAGAAGCCTCCTGGGAGGTGCCCCTGAGGGGCTTCTGAGAGGCCTCTTGGGAGGTGCCGCTGAGGGGCCTCTGAGAGGCCTCTTGGGAGGTCCCCAATGAGGGGCTTTTGAGGGGCCTTTCCGGAAGGTGCCCCTGAAGGGCTTCTGAGACACCCTGGTAGGTGCACCTGAGGGGCTTCTGAAAGACCTCTGGAAGTGTCCCTGGTGGGGCTTCCTTGTAGGTATCGTATAACCACATAGGAACCTTATACGGTGTACAAAAGAATCGTATACGATCGACATAAAAACCGCGCACGAGACTCACGTAGAAGATGCACCGGGGAATTGCTTACGATTCAACTAAGAATCGTACACAACCCACTTAAGAATCGTAGGCACACCACACAGGATCCACATACGACGCATATAGAGATCGTATACGATTCACACAGGGATCGTGTACGATACCCGTAGGACCTGCATAGGAGTCACCTGGTTGTGTACGATTCACATTGGAATCGTATACCACAGTATACGGTTCCCATAAGAATCGCACACGATTCACATAGCATGCGTGCACTTTTCACATATGAACCACCCACGGCGCATATTGGGATCGCATTCGAGTCACACAAGGTTCGTATACGGTACACAGAGGTTCCGTAGACGATTCACACAGGATCCGTATACGATTTACATAGGAGTCGTATGCGATTTACACCAGAATCGAATGCACGCCACATAAGGATCGCCGACGAGTCACATAGGAATCGTAGACGGTTCGCGTAAGAATCGTATCCGAGTCACATGGGGGTCGTCTACGATTCACGTAGGAAACGTACACGATTCACATAGCATGCGTGCACTTTTCACCTATGAACCACCCACGACGAAGATTGGGATTGTATTCAAATCACACAAGATTCGTACACGGTACACAGAAGTTCCGTAGACGATTCACACAGGACCCGTATACGATTTACATAGGAGTCGTATGCGATGTACGCCAGAATCGAATGCGCGCCACAAAAGAATCGCAGACGAGTCACATAGAAATCGTAGACGGTTCGCGTAAGAATCGTATCCGAGTCACATGGGGGTCGTATACGGCTCACGTAGGAAACGTATACGATTCACATAGGGAACGTGTACGAAGCATACAGAAATGGTAGACGACCAACATGAGAACTGGATTGGCTCCTCATAAAAAATCGCAAACGGTTCACATACGAATAGAATAGGATTCACACAGGAATCGTAACGGCTCACATGGATGCTTATACGATTCATTTTGGAACCGCATACGGTTCACATGAGAATCGCATACAATGCCCATCGCGCTCGTGCACGTTTGTCATAGCAGTCTTCTATGTGAATTACATTGAAAATCGTATACGGTTCACGCAAGGCCCGTATGCGATTCACATAGGGTCCGTACACGAACCACAGAAAGTGTATACAATTCACAGTGGAGGCGTACACGATTGACACTGGAACCATATACGATTAACATAGGCGTCGTAAAAGTGTCACATAGGAACAATAAAATATTCACATAGGAGTCGTGAGGGTTGTAGTCGTCGTAATAGGAGTAGTAGTAGTAGCAGCAGTCGTAGTAGTAGTAGTAGTAGTAGTAGTAGTCGTCGTCGTCACCGTAGCCGTAGTAGTAGTAGTAGTAGCAGCAGTAGTCGAAGTAGTAATAGTGATAGTAATAGTGATAGTATTAGTATCCGTAATAGTAATAGTAATAATAACAATAATAGTAATAGTAATAGTACTAGTAATAGTAATAGTCATAGTAATAGTAATAGTACTAGTAATAGTAATAGTAATGGTAATAATAATAATAGTCATAGTAGTAATAATAATAATAATAGTACTAGTAATGGTAATGGCAATGCTAATAGTAGTAGTAGTAATAGTACTAGTACTAGTACTAGTACTAGTAAGAGTGATAGTAATAGTAATAGTAATAGTAATAGTAAAAGTAATAGCAATAGTAATAGTAACAGTAATAGTACTAGTAATAGTAATAGTAATAGTCATAGGAATAGTGATAGTAATATTAGTACGAGTAGAAGTAGTAGTAGAAGTAGTAGTGGTAGTAGTGGTACTAGTGAAAGCAATAGTGGGGTCGTAGTCGTAGGGATAGAAGTGGTAGTAGCAAAAGTAACCGTAAGAGTAGTGGTCGCCATAGTAGTAGTAGTAGTGGTAATACTAGTAGAAGTAGTAGCAGTCGTCACAGTAGTAGTAGTAGTAGTAGTAGTAGTAGTAGTAGTAGTAGTACTCGTAGCAGCAGCAGCAGCAGTAGCAGCAGTAGCAGTAGCAGTAGCAGTAGTAGTAGTAGTAGTAGTAGTAGTAGTAGTAGTAACGATTCACATCGGAGCCGTACACATTGGAATCGTCCACAATACACATAAGATTCGTACGATTCACATAGGACCCGTACACAAGTCACACTGGAAGATAGAAAGTGCCAGCGGGTGTCCGTAAGTATACTCATGTAGTTCTGGAGTGCCTGCAAGATGTGGCTGCTGTATAAATTATGTGTAGGAGCAGCCGGCATTGGCCCCAATTAAACCACACGCAGCCAGGATTAGGAAGGCACCAACTATACACCAACACCGATCCTGGCCAGGATCACCCTGGGCCCAGGATCAGTGTATACGCCCTCCTGCCTTGCGCAAGAAGGCATATACACCGATCCTGGGCCCAGGGTGATCCTGGGCCAGGATCGGTGTTGGTGTATAGTTGGTGCCCTCCGAAGGATTTAGATTGCCCCCAAGCGACTGGGATTGGCACCAGTTCGCCAGGATTGGTCCCTCTACCCGGGTCAGCCCTCCCCTCCCCCGGTTCGGAGGGGGATTCGGAGGGGGAAGCGGTGCTGCCCCATCCCCCCTCAAACCCGGGGGAGGGCCTGCCAGCAGCGGCAGAAAAAGCTCCTTCAGAGATCTGCTTGCGCCGACCCGAAGAGCGGCATCGGATCGAACCGATGGGATCGGAAAGGGCTCCGCAAATCCCCCCCCCCCCCCGAGGCGGCCCCGAGACAGCCCGGGACCAGGCAACCGCGGCCCCAGGACGGCCCCACGCTGGCCCGAGGCGGCGCGGGCGCTGCCGCCCCGCGGCGTGGCACCCCCAAACCCCGCGAGGCGGCCCACGGGCCGTCCCCCCGACAGCATCAAGACCATCCACGGTGCCCAGGGCCCGAGCGGCCCCTCTGAGGGTCCCCCTCGGGGGCCCGCGGGCCCGAGAGGGCCCCGAAGACGCATCGCGGCAGTCACGGAGCGCGGCCGCTGCGCCGCGCCGCGGCGGCTCTGCGCAGCGTCCTCCCCGCACGCGAGGAGGGGCAGGCGCGGCAGCGCAACTAGATAGCGTGCCCATGCACGTAAGCCAAGCCACGCAATAACTGATAGAGATAAAGTTTCACGTAATACATGTCCAGTGTCCTGCCCAGCACGTTGCAGTGTTTGATGATTCTATGCAGCGTGTCCGACAGGAACTCGAGCACCAGATTCAGCTTTTGAGCTCCTTGCACATCTGGACTTAAGAACGCACCCTTCAGGCAAACAATGTTCGGGTGTCCGTCCAGCTCTTTGAGAATCTGGATCTCCCTATCCTTCTCCGTCATCCTAATCGATTTGACAGCCACGATCTCTCCAGTCTCAAGCACCTGTGCCTGGTACACTACGCCATAAGATCCCTTCCCCAATATCCTCTGGAATGAATAGGTCCTCGGCTGCTCCGAGGGCTGCTCTGCGTCTACTCTGCGCCGCTTGGTTTCCATCATGTCCCGCGGCCCATGAAGAGGAGATACGAGCAGGCGGTAAACAGCCTGAGCCAAGAATACGGTGTCATGCTCTATGTTACAAGTGGCATGGCGATTGCGACGGCGATGACCAGGGTGACGATGGCGACGGCCTGGACAGTGCTGTGGGCGATGGCCGTGTGACTCACCCAAACAATTCTTGTACCAATGAGACCTTGCTTGGGGAAAACTCAAAGGTACTGATGCCGCTACTCCCGGGACCTCTCCCTCCGGGGGTGCGTCCTGACCAGGACTTCGAGGCGAACCCAGCCGTGGCGGCGAGGGCCTCCCGAGGACCGGAACACGGGGCAGCGAAGGAAGCGCAGCGGCATGGGCACGCGCAGCGCCTCCCCCCGATGGATGGGACGCGCAGAGGTTCGCCCCGTCGCCGCCCGCGGGCGCCTCCCGCGCGGCGCCGGGAGCTCGAGGGTTCGGCGCGCCAGCGCCGCCCGTGGGCGCCTCGTGGGCGCCGGCTGGCGCTTCCGGATCCACGCGTCGGCTCCGCTCCCCGAAAGCGAGGGCAGAAAGTCCACCCTCATCAGAATCGCCCCTCCACGCGAAGCCGCTTCGCAGACGTGCCAAAACAGGGCATCGAACAGGGTAGGGCTGTCTGGTAAACGCCTGGGGCCGCTCAGGAAACGCCAATGATCGGGTCCAGGTGGTTTGCCCTTCCTTGATCAAACGAACACGGCTGCACCCCCACGCCGAGAACGGTCAAATAGTCCCATCCCCGGCGACCCTGTATCGACCCCTCCCCCGTTCCTCCGTTCCAAATAGCACACCATGCGGTGCACAAGCGCGTATCTCACAAATGCAGTTTGCACGAATCCTTCTCAAACATGACCGCACTCGGCCGCGCGCGCGGCTCGAGAGCCTTCCGAAACCACTGGTGCTCGAATAATTGCCAGATGGAGCAAGAATGCCAGATTGCTTCGAGCGCACTCGCTAAAATCATTGGAGAACCAAGTTGCACGTTTGCCGTTTGATCACGGAGCGTATGCGGGCCACACTCGCGCGCATGTCGAAACGTTCGGGAAACCATCGCGCGCCGGCAAGCGTATGCGGGCCACACGCGCGCATCTCTCCGCGAGCGCGCTCGTCGGCATTCCTTCCAAAGCCACTAGCTAACTCAGCAGTTCAACACATATGAAAGCCCAATGGCATGTTCCTCAAACATGCGTCGGGATGTCTGAAATTCTGCGCGCGCATGCGCTTCCTCATTATCCTCATCAGCACCCTCGTTATCACCATCGCCAGCGTAATGATTACCACAGTCATCAACAACATCGACATATCAATCACCATCGTCGTCGTCATCATATCATCACCGCCATCGTCATGATCGTCGATGTCGTCCCACTCGTCGAAATTCTGCGCGCGCACTTCCGAATCATCCTGACCAGCGCCATCGTAAGCATCGTCGCATTCGTCAAAATTGCGTCATTATCATCACCGTCGGCTTCAGCACTACAGCCGTCGTCGTCGATATCGTCCCAACCGTCGGTATGGTAATCACCATCATCATCACCACCACCATCATCATCACCACCACCACCATCAGCACCACCACTACCATCACGAACTATCATCATCATCATCATCGTCATCAGCATCATCATCATGCTTATCATCATCATATCATCGTCATCGTCACCACCACCACCACCACCATGACCATCAGCATAATCATCATCAGCAACAGTATCATCATCATCATCATCATCAGCATCAGCATCAGCATCATCATCATCATCATCATCATCATCATCATCATCATCATCATCATCCTTGTCATCACCACCACCACCATCATCATCATCATCAGCAGCATCATCAGCATCATCATCATAAGCACCACCATCATCATCATCAGCATCATCATCGTCGTCGTCGTCGCCCAGCTGGCGATTCACCAACAAGGTGGTGATGGGTGGGCGAGATGTTTGTACGAGCATCGGAGGTGGTCAAGCGCAGATGTGGTCAATAAATGGCATCCCTCACTTTGCTTTGGACCATACAGATTGCAACACAAGGTTTGCAATACTGGCTGCACCACAACGAGCGAACATCGCAAGCGTAAGAACCCGCTGCTTGGGGTCCACGATGGCAAACACGGGTATACATCGATGGAACGCAAGCTTGCATATTTACCTGTTGATCCACCACCGTGCCCTTGAGGCACGAATTGGAGTGTCCTCAGGTCCCTTGCTCAATCCCCTGGAGCCTCAGTGCTCAATCCTGAGGACTCTTTCGAGGGCCAGGGCCCCTAGCTCTCAAATCTTGTTGGGATCCCCGCGTGCCATCTAGGGTTTGTCGCGTTCTGTCGCGTGACGTTCTCGGGCCTAAACGGGCCCCAAGATGGGCCAAGCGGGCCCAAAGAGGCTCTCAAGACGGTCCAAGAGGGCCCCGAATCGACGCGCGGCTGGTCCAAGATGTTCAAGATGGCCCCAGGGTAGCCCAAGAAGCCTTGGAGGCGCCCCAACAGAACGCCCCAGAGCCTTCCCAAGAAGGGCCCCCAGAAGCCAAAAAAAACTGGATTGCCCTTGCTTGTTGTTTTATGCGTGGAGTTCTTCACATTTCGAGCGTTCGACGCTCCAAGACGTCCCAAGAGGCCCCCAAGACAGCCCCAAGACGGCCGCAGAGGCCCACAAGGCGGCCCAAGAGGGCAAGAAAGACAAAGAGGCACCCAAGACGGCCCAAAAGGGTCCCAAGACGGCCCCAAAAGGAGCCGAAGAGGGGGAGGACGAACTGAAAAACCTAACCTTCCGCCCCATGAGACACCAAGGAGGCCCAAGGAGTCCCCCAAGAGGCCCAAGAGGCCCCAAGAGGCCCCCACGACATCCTAAGAGGCCCACAAGAGGTCCAAAAGAGATCCCAAGAGGCCCTCAAACAGCCCCCCAGAGGCCTCAAACTGGCCTCCAGGAGGCCCCCGAGAGGCCTCTCACGAGATCCCAACGAGCATCCAAAAGGCCTCTCGACCACAACCCAGGTACGGTGGCGTGGTTAGCCGAAGGCCATTTGATAGTTTTGCCAACGCGCAGAAACCAAAAAGTGTGCGCTATCGTGGGGCTCTCCCTGTCACCCTGTTGGTAATTGTCCTTCCTCCTCCCTCCTGTCTCCTCCCTCCCTCGCTTCGCTCTCCTCATTCCATCCTCCCCTCTCCCTCTTCACCACCCTCCCCCCTCCCTGGGGGGCCCCTCCGTCATTCCTTCCCTCCTCTCCTCCTCCTCCTCCTCCTCCTCCTCCTCCTCATCATCATCATCATCATCACCACCACCATCATCATCATCATCATCATCACCACCACCACCACGATCATAACGAACATCGTGATCGTCCTTTTCCTACTCCTCCACCGCCCCACTCCCTCCCTCCCTCCTTCTCTTCACCCTCCGTCCCCTTTCCTGTCCCCTCTCCCCTCTCTTGTTCAGCCTTCCCTACTGCACCTTCCCACTTTCCTCTTTCCCTCCCACCACCATCAGCAGCACCATCATCATCGTCAGTGCCCCTCCTTGTCTTCCCCCTCCCCCCGCGGCAACGACGACGGAAACGACGAATCTACTTGCGACGACAGCAGGAACAGCAGAGTCAGCGCGGTCCGCGTCGAGGCCGCCGAAGGCAATGACCGCCTCGGCCGCGTTCAACGGGGGCACGAACGCCTCGGCTTGCATGCCGGCGCGGGGTGCGCCCTGCCGAACGGCGGCGCCGCCGCCACCACCGCAGGCCATCTCCGCCGTCGTCGTGGTAAAGCACCGCCCCGTCTCCCCCCCACCCCCACCCCCCAGCACGCACACACACACACACACACACACACAACCACACACAACCGCATACACATGATTAGTTTCGCGGCCTGATGCCACGCAACGAGGGCAAAACCATGAATCGCTAAGACGGATTACCACCAAACGAGCGCCGATGGGAGGCCAAACCACACACACACACACACACACAATTGGGTGCTGCGGTCACGCGCGCGGCGGCGCGGCGTAGGCAGTCGAGCGGGAGAACGCGCGCAGCCTTGCCACATCACGCGGCGTGGGGACCAAGGATCTGCCCAAGAGGGTCGACCAGGTCAGGCACCAGACCGCACACACACACAACCACACACACACACACACAACACACACACACACACAACACACACACACACACACACACACAACACACACACACAGACACACACACACACAAAAACACACAGTTGGTCGCACGCAGCTGGGGCAGGAAGCCACACGAACGCTGAAGAGTTGCACGCCCAGCGCAACCGGACCAACGCCACGCCAGGCGAAGGTGAACCCCCCAACAAAAGCACCCACCCCCAGCCAGGACCTCCTAGAACACCAGGTCGGGAATCGGGGTCCCGTCTGGGGGTGGGGGTGGACTGTGCTGTCCTCACAAAACGGGGCCATGGCAGGGAGCGGTTCGCAGCGGCCAGCGGCCGGAGGCAGCGGGCAGGGGCACCAAGAGCGCACAGGCGGGGAGGGCCCGCGGGAGGCGGCGGGCACGCACGCACGCACGCACGCACCTACGCACGCACATACACACACACACAAACTCAAACGCACACATACACACACACTCAAAGACACATACATATATATATATATATATATATATATAACAACCCCCCCCAAAAAAAAAACATGATCGACCCACGAACCCGGAAAGGAATATAGAAATGTAACGCATTGCAACATTTCAAAGACACCTGATTGGGCGACGGGCACATGCAATGCTGAATGTATCGATGATGATGTACTGTGCCGAGGGCTGTGCTGTGCTACGCCGTGCTGAGCTGCGATGTGCCATGCCGCGATTGTGCTCTGTATAGCGTTGTGGATCGAGTCCTCCCTGGCATCCGAGTCCTCACCGAACTGATCTGGAGCGTAAGCTCGAGCTGCCTGAGCAGATGGTAGCTGCCCC